TGCCTGGTTCTATGCCAACCTCACAATCGTTGCTACATTTGAGCCCATTGCTGCTGCCACTGTGAAAATCCATCTTGTTGGAGGTCTTCATCTTCTTTTCCAACCTTCCACTTTACCAAATATATCCTTTTCCAAGGACTGGTTGCTCCTGATAATATGTCCAAAGTATGACAGATGAAGTCTGGCCATCCTGGCTTCCAAGGAGCATTCTAGCTGTATTTCTTCCAACATAGATTGATTTGTTCTTATGGCAATGCATGATACTTTTAATATTCTTCTCCAACACCATAACTAAATGCATCGATTCTTCAACAGTCTTCCTTACCACTAAGTTTCACATGTATATGAGGATATTGAAAATACCATGGCGTGGATTAGGGGCACCTTAGTCCTTATATTGACATCTCTGCTCTTGAACACTTTTAACAGCTATCTTGCAGCATTTTTTCCTAATGCAATACGTCCTTTGATTTACTGACTGCTGCTTCCATGAGTGTTGAAGGTTTATCCAAGAAAGATTAAGTCTTTGACAACTTTAATCTTTTCTCCATTTATCTTGATATTTACAGGTCCAGTGGTGAGGAATTTTGTTTTCTTTACATTGAGGTGCAACCAATATTGAAAGCTGTGGTCTTTAGTCTTCATCAGTAAGTATTTTAAGACCTCTTTGCTTTCAGCAAGCAGGTTGTATCATCCGCTTATCGCTGAATGTTGTTACGTGCCATCGAGTCGATGTCAACCTATAGAGACCCTGTAGAGGTTTTCCAAGAAGCAGCTGGTGAGCTTGAACCACCAACCTTGCAGTTCAAACAACTTTGCAGTCTGACACACTAGCCCACAGCACCGCAAGTTGGTAAAATTTTTCTAATGCATTATCACTGGTTTTAGTGGTTGGTGTGTAAATTTGAACAATATATGGTATTAACAGAAATTCCTTGAAGGTGTAGGAAATTCCTATTATAGACAGTGTTTTACTTCAAGACAATCTTGACATGTTCTTTTTGATTATTAATGCAAAGGCATTCTTGTTCAATTTGTAATTCCCAGCATATTATAAATCATGTGATTGTGAGATTCAAAATGGCCAATACCAGTCCATTTCAGCTCACTAATGCCTAGGATGTGGATGTTTATGCATTCCATTCCATTTTTGACAACTTCCAATTTTCCTAGATTCATACTTTATACATTTCCATGTATTATTAATGGATATCTTCAGCTGTTTCTCTTCATGTTGAGCAGTATCCCAACAACAAATGAAGGTTTCAAAGGCTTTACTCCATTGTGTCAACACAGTCAACTCTACTTTGAGGAGGCAGCTCTTCCCTAGTCATATTTTGAGTGTCGGAGGGCCTCAGCTTTGGCACTGTATCTGGTGTTGACGGTGTTCCACTGCTATTCTTAAGGTTTTCAGTGATGAAATATTTATAAGTAGTCCGTCTCACTGTCTTCCAAGTCTACCTTCGTCGGAAGCTCAGCTGAAACCTGTCCACTGTGCGTGACCCTGCTGGTATTTAAAATACCTGTGGCATAGCTTCCAGAATCACAGCAACACACAAGCCACCACAGTATGACAAACTGACAAAACAAGAACACTGTTAATTTTGAATTCTTTCTTTAGTTTACCTAGACCACTTTTAATTAAGAAAACTGCAGAAAGTTAGTAATGGCCACAAATAGATGCCAGACAGCGGCATGTGCCAATTATCCAGAGTTCTGCTTTGCAGTGGGTTCTGAATGCACTGCTGGGGTCTGCTCATACTTTTTTGTAAACTCTTCAGAGTTCTTATAGCTTGGGCTGGGAATCACTGACCAGTGCTGTGAGGGACTGGATTACTTGGTCAGTTTTGGTTGCTGGCTTCCAGTTTTTAGCACTAATTATTGGCAGGCAAACTTTTCATAAATGTTTGAGTGATCTTAGTTTTAAATTTGATCTTTGGTGGTTTGAATAGGTACTCTGCTGGAAAGTTGATTTTGATTCTGAAGGCTCCCTTATCATAAGGAAGGTTGTCAGGAAAAATAAGCCTTCATCAACTCAATAAATTAACTTCATCAACTTGCCATGTTATGAAAGTTTTTCATCCCACCATTTGGGGATTTCCTTCAAGCTCCTTCATCAGTCTCCTGCTGACTGCCATCTAGATCTCTAACAAGAAGGTTTTACAACCATCTTCTATATATAAAAATTAGGTGTTTACTATAAACTATAAGCAAAAAAAGCAAGATACCAAATTCCAGAATCAAATGTGAACACTTGCCCATATATTATTGTGAAGTACCATCGAGTCGAGTCAATTCTGACCCATAATGACCCTGTATAGGTTTTCCGAGGAGTAGCTGGTGAGCTTGAACCACCAACCTTGCAGTTCAAACGACTTTGCAGTCTGACACATTAGCCCACAGCACCACACCAGGACGCCTCTGGTAGTGTAGTGGTTACAAATTGGGCTGCTAACCTCAAGGTCGGCAGTTCGAAACTACCAGCTGTTCCATGGGAGAAAGATGAGGCTTTCTGCTCCCATAAAGATTTGCAGCCTCGGAAACCTTGTGCAGGGATCACTATGAGTCGGAACCGACTCTATGGTACTTAACAACAATTATAGTCCAGTGAGAAATTATGACTTTTTTTTAAGGAATGGAGAAAGCATGGCTTTCTTAAACATTGCTGTTGAGTCAACTGATTCATACTGACCTTACAGAACAGAATCACTCCATACGGTCTCCTAGGCAGAAATCTTTACAGAACCAGATCACCAGGTCATTTCTCCAACGAAGCTGCTGGTAGGTTCAAACCATTGACCTTTGGGTTAGCAGCTGCATGCTTAACCACTGTGCCACCAGGGTTCCTATTTCTTTAGTAAGAATGATATACTATATGATTCTCAATACTGTGAATTTGCCTACTTGCTAAAAATTTTTTGTATCCCCAGTATCAACACTCTCAGCGTTTTGTAATCATTCATGGACATGTGAAAAGCAGCCAAATATTGGAATCATCTAACGCATATGTTCAGCTCTTATACTGTAAACTAGTGTCCTTTTTATGTTTTCGGGTTTTTTTTTTTTTCTTTCTGCATTTTTGTGCTTTTTAATACTTCAATGCTTAAAATGCCCCAAGCATAGTACTATTTTGAAATACAAGAAAGCTTTAAATCAACAACATATAATTCACAGTATCTATGTTATATAAAGGAGCACAGTGGCTCTGTAGAATAAATGCAGCTAATCACAAAGTTGGTGGTTTGAGCCCACCAGTGAACCTACAAGAGAAAGATAAGACTTTCTGCTCCTATATCTATATTAACAATCCTAAAAACCCTATATAGGGTTGCTATGAGTCAGAACTGACTCAATGGCACATAACAACAACAACAACAACCAGGGGTAGAAGATGGAAAAGGTTAATGGTGATGGAAGTATCACATTGATTAAGGATAAGGTTGCACAGATGATTACTGAAATTGCTGTCAGTAAGTTGTATAGTGATTCCGAGGAGCAGCTGGTGGGTTTGAACTGCTGACATTGTGGTTTGCAGTCCAGTGCTGATCCTATAGAATCAATAATAAACTTAGTTCTCTGCCTTATCTTTTTATATATGTTATGTCATACAATATTTGTGCTTTTGTGATTGACTTATTTCACTCAGCATGTCTTCCAGCTCCATCCATAGTATCAAGGCTTAATTTCAGCCACTGACTGAGTAGTATTCTGTTGTATATTCTACAGTGTGTGGATCCATTCATCTGATGCGTGCTTCTCATTAAAGAAGTTTTATTTAATAAACATTGTTAATTTATGTACATTGAATTCATAGTCCTCAGCACAAAACTCACACCTGAACATAAAGGTAGTTATCTGTAAAGTACATCACACCCTTTTAACACTTAGGAATACCTTAAAGCTTCAGTACTATGCTTGGCGGCCATTTTAACCAGTCAAATCACTAACTAAAAGCACAAAAAAAGCAACTACAAAAAAAGTGACAAACTACACAGACCAAATAAAAGACATTAGTTTACAGTATGTAACCTGAATTAAAAAGGCAGGGCATCATCACCTTGTTCAATGTCTGTGGGAATTGTGCATGTCAGGTGATGGTGACGCTAGGTAATTGATTAAGCATTAAACGGGGATGTGATGAACATCATAGGCTAAAGAGACTGCAAAGACAGAAAAGATTTTATTCTTTTATAAAGCCAAGCAGATTTAATCCAACTAGTCCTCAAGTAACAGAATTTGATATCCTAAATTCACCTGGTAACTGGGACGGCCACCTGTGTTTGCTCAGTGCCTTTAATTCAAACAAACAAGTTTTGAAGAGGCAGCCAGGTCTGACTCCCGTTTCCACAATGTACTGGCTGCGTTGGGAAGGTACGAAACTCTCTGTACCGTCCTTTCTTTCCTCCATTGAAAACTGAGATTCGTTTAAGGTTAATTCAAAGCCCCTGCTCACGATGGGACAGTCCCTCCACCCAAGAACAAGGGCGGGAGTACTTACTGGACGCATTCGTTTGCCCGGCCCTTGTTCTGATACTCCACGATACAGCGAATCAACTGATCATTTTCCTCCAGGAGCTGAAAGATCAGAGAAAGGGTCAGTACAGAGCAGACCTCAGGGCCGCGGGATGACTGCACGCCCCAAGCCCGGCTGTCTTGCCCCTAACTCATTGCTCACTCCGTCCCCAAGTCATCTGGACCCCTGCAGGTCATCACCCTCCACGAGTTTCGGATACCAAGTGCTTCGGGAAGCTTCCCGCAACCACACAGGATCTCTACGAAGGAAGCCCTTCTCCCTGCCCGCGTCACACTCACCCGCTGGATAGTCTCTTGATTCACTTCAGCCTTGCCCCGCAGCCAGTCCGGTACGAAGGCTACCGACATCCCAGGGAGCTTGGACGGAATCCGGCTTCAGGCCCCACGGTCAGGTCCGCGCCTCGCTCATAACCAACTAGCAACTCCAGTCACAACACCACTGGCACAAAAACCCACCGTTCTCGACGTTTATAGCTTTCTCGGCGAACAGAAGACACGTCATCAGTGATAAAACGTCATCAGTGATGAGACGTGCTACAAACATGCGTAGTAACAATCTTCCCAGTTACATCCCTAGTGGCCCGTTCTAGGCGCTAATACCTTGCGCATGCGCGCCGTTGGGTTCCCTCAGGGCAGGACCCAGGCCGGAAGAGTAGCTAATTTGCCAGGTGTCAGTTGCGGCGCTGCTGGTTAATAATGCCCCGGACTGCAAGGTTGGTTTGAACCGTAAGGTCGGTTTGAACTGCAAGGTCGGAGGTTCAAGCTCACCGCGGAAACCCTATACAGGGTCGCTATGGGTCGGAACCGACTCGATGGCATTTAACAACAATCAAGCTCACCAGAGTTCTGGTGTGGCGCTGTAGATTAACGTGCTGAACTGCAAGCTGTTTGAACCTCAAAGTTGGCAGTTCAAACTCACCGGCTACTCTTCGAAAACCCTGTACAGGGTTACTATGGACGGCACTTAACTGCATCAAGCTCACCAGCCGCTCCAGGATCGCTCTGTATCCTGGGTCGGACTCTAGGACATAAAACAATAACCACACATGGTATGGCGTTGTGTGTTAAAGCGCTCGGCTGCAAGGTCGGTTTGAACCTCAAGGTCGGTGGTTCAAGCTTACCAGCTGCTGTTTGGAAACGCTGTAGTTACTTGGGTCGCTATGAGTCTAAGCGGACTCGACGGCGCTTAATAAAACGAATCGTTTTCAGAGGAAGATTGCCCAGGACCACACAGGAACTGTACCAGGCATGCAGATTTCTGACTTATCTTGGCATCACTGGTGCCTCCAAATCTGCATCGGGATCCTGAACTCTGGGCTCCTACCAAACCTTGGTGGCTGCGTGGGGTAGGAAGGGAGACGGATTAAGGATGATTCCCAGTTGTACCACGAACAAATAAGAGACTGGAGAGTGGAACAGTAGGGTAAAAGCTGGACTGGAGGTGAGCCTGATAAATTCAGCTGTGAATACATATAGTGGAGATGTTCAAGTTGTGGCTGGATATTTACTCTGGAACTCAGGGCTGTGAGCTGGACTAGAGATAGTTTTGAAAAGCATCATTTGTTGAAGCTAATTGGAATCATGCAAGGGTTAAGACCACCTGACGTTTCCCTCATGACAGAGGAAAAGAGGCTGCAAGGAAACTGGGAGGCTGGGGTGGAGGATGTGAAGGTATTGTTTCTCAACGTTATCTGCCATCTAGGTCTGTACACTTTTGAAGGTGCTCCCCTCTCTCTAACCCTGCCCCAAAGAATACTACACTCTTTAGTTGGTAAAAACAGCAATGTGGCATCCTCTAGGGATTCAAACCATGTTCCTTTTAAATATTCTTTGATTTTGGGAACAAAATGAAATCTGAAGGGACAAGATCACAGCTATCCTCAAAGAATGAGCAATTACATTGTCCTGTTGGGAAAAAAATTCCTTGGAGCAACTTTTCCGGTCTTTTTCTCACTAATGCAGTTTCCAATTTTCTTAAAGCTTCTTCATAATAAGCTCTCATGTTCATCCTGTGTCCTTTGAGAAAATCTGAAAAAATTACCTCAAGAAATAGCTGTCAAAGCCTGCTGAGCTACCTCACTGTCTTGAATTTAACTGGCCCGGCATATTTCCAAGGAGCTCTGGTAGCATAGTGGTTACCAGTTGAGTTGATAACCTCAAGGTCAGCAGTTTGAAATTACCAGCTATTCCTCAGTGGAAAGAAAAGGTTTTCTTCTCCTGTAATTTACAGCCTCAGAAACCCTATGCAGGGTCGCTATGAATCAGAACTGATTTCACAACACATAACCAACAACAACAACAACAAATCTCCTTGGACGCCACTGTTTTGATTAGACTTCTTTTGTTTCAAGACATCTTAATGATACTAAGAGAAGCGTATTATTGAGAGAACTTCTCTGTGGTTACTCACTGATTGCATTTGTTATCATTGTTAGGTGCTGTTGAGTTGGTATCGACTCATAGTGACCTTAGGCACAACAGAACAAAACACGGCCCAGTCTGGCGCCAATATCACAGTCATTGCTACGCTTGAGCCCATCATTGCTGCCACTGTACCAATCCATCTTATTGGGGGGCTTCCTCTTTTGTACTGACCCTCCACTCACCCAGCATGATGTCCTTCTTAGGGATTGGTCCATCTTGAAAATACATCCAAAGTATGAGAGACAAAGTCTAGCCATGCTGGATTCTAAGGAGCATTCTGGCTGTACCTCTTCCAACACAGATCTGTTTGTCCTTTTGATAGTCTATGATACTTTTAGTATTCTCCTCCACACCATAACTCACATGCATCAATTGTTCTATGATCTTCCTTATTCACTGTCCAGCTTTCACATGTATATGAGGATATTGAAAATATCATGGCTCAGGTCAGATGCACTTCAAACTGATGTTTTGCTCTTGAACACTATTAAGGGCTTTTGTGCAGCATATTTGTCTAATGCAATACGTTGTTTGATTTCTTGACTGCTGCTCCTATGAATGGGGATGGTTAATCTGAACAAAATGAAGTATTTAGCAACTTTAACCTTTTTTCCATTTATCTTGGTCCAGTTGTGATATTTGTTTTCTTTATATTGAGGTGCCACCCATACTGAAGGCTGTGGTCTCTGATCTTCATCAGTAAGTATAAGGATGAGTCAAAAAGTATCCGCACTCTGGCTGTAGAATTCATTTTAATCAACTTTTAGAAAAGACAAATACATCATTTTTTGATATAATCTCCTTGCTTTTCAATACATTTTGTCCATCTTCTTACAAGCTTTCATAGTCCCTTATTTTAAAATGTTTTAGGCTGAGCTGTGAGCCACAAATGCACTGCTGTCTTCACTTCTTCATCAAAAATGAATCTTTGTCCTCGAAAGGCTGCTTTCAGGGGATTAAACAGGTGAAAGTCCGATGAAGCAAGATCAAAACCTCAAAATGAAGTTTTTGTAGTGTCAACTGTGGGGAGAGGTGTGTGGATGTGTACTGTCATGCAAGATCGCAGTCCTCTTCGATCGCAGTCCTCTGTGTTTAATCCAAAGTTTAGGCTTCAGCTCTTCAGTGAGCATCTCACTATAAGGAGCATTGTTGATTGCTGAACCTTTCTCCTGATAGTGTTCCAATACTGGTCCTTGAGAATCCCAGAAAACTGTGAACATCAATATTCCAGCTGATGGTTGACTTTTGAACTTTTTCTTGGTTGGCGATTGAGGATGTTTCCATTCCATACTCTGCCTTTTATTTTCAGGCTCATAGTGATGACTCCATGTCTCCTCACCAGTAATGATTTTTTAAAAGAAACTTTTACTCTCCTTTGGGTATCGGCCCAAATTTGGTTTGCAGGTATACAAACACTTCTGTTTATGTTCTTTGTGAACCGTTTTGGTACCTTAATCACACAAACTTTTCACAACTCAAGTATTTTGAATTATTTAACAGGCAGAACCATGGCTGATTTGCAAATGATTTGCCACATAATCCATTGCCACTTGTCTATTCGACAGAATCATTTCAGGCGCAAACTTAATGTTATCATTAGGCATTTTAATATTCTAATATAACCAGAGTGTGGATAATTTTTGACTCACTCTCATATTTTACATCCCCTTTGCTTTTAGCAAGCAAGGTTGTGGCATCTGTATATTGCTGGTTATTAATGAGTCTTCCTCCAGTCCTTCTTCATATAATCCATTTTCTCTGCTTATTTGCTCAGCATACAGACTGAATAAGCATGGTGAAAGAAGGTAACCCTGGCACACACCTTTAAACCATTCATTAACAACTTGTTCTGCCAAAAAACTGCCTCATGGTCTATGTACAGGTTCATCATGAACACAATTAAGTGTTCTGGAATACTCATTCTTCACAATGTTGTCTATAGCCTGTCAGGAGCCACACAATCAAAAGTCTTTCCGTAGCCAATAAAGTACAGGTAACCATCTTTCTGGTATTCTCTGCTATTAGCCAGGATCTATCTATGTCAGCAGTGATCCCCTTCATTCCACATCTCCATCTGAATCCAGCCTGAACCTCTGGCAGCAAACTGTCAATATATTGCTGCAGCCGTTTTTAAATTATCTTTAGAAAAAATTTACTTGCATGTGATATTAATGATATTGCTCAATGAGTTCTGCATTTTGTTGCGTCACCTCTTTTTGGAATGGACACAGATATGGATCTCTTCTAATCAGTTAGCCAGGTAGCTGCCTTCCAAATGTCTTAGCATCGATGAGTGAATGCCGCCAATGCTGCCTCCGTTTATTGAAAGATTTCAATTTGTATTCCATCAACTCTCAGAGCCTTGTTCTTTGCCAGTGCCTTCAGTGCACCTTGGACTTTCTCCTTCAGTATTGTTGACTCTTGAGCATATGCTACCTCCCCCCCCCAACACACACACAATTATTGAGTTTATTAGGGAAGTTTGTTGTTGTTAGGTGCTATCAAGTTGGTACTGACTCATAGCAACCTTATGCACAACAGAATGAAGCACTGCCCGGTCCTAGGCCAACCTCACAATTATTGCCACGCTTGAGACCACTGATGCTGCCACTTTGCCAATCCATCTCACTGGGGTCTTCCTCTTTTTCTCTGACCCTCCACCTTACCAAACATGATATAAAAACTATGTGGTTGTCAGATTCAAAATGGCCAATACCAGTCCACTTCAGCTCACTAATGCCTAAGATAACGATGTTTATGCGTTCCATTTCATTTTTGACAATTTCCCATTTTCCCAAATTCATAGGGAAGTATCAGGTCCGTAATTCAGGATCTGGAGCAAACCAAGATACAATCCTTCAGTCAGGATAGCCTCTTTCTTCTCAGGTATGCCTTGAAGGCAGGCCTCTCTCTGGCTTCTTGGT